TGGCCAACAGGAATGTCAGAAACATCCCTTTAAAATTTCAGCCTTCTAGCTTCCCTGGTCACCGAGTTAGCAACTTACCCGAAAAAAACTTTGGCGGGCCTGCACGTTGGTACCACGCGTACCCGGAGTCTGGGTTTGAGCTCATTCATGTCTACTTGGACGGGGGCCATCCCCTTAAAACTCCAGTCTCCTAGCTTTTCAGGTCTCACAGTTAGCACTTACAGGAAAAAAAACTTTGGTAGGCCCGTATATAGGTACCACGCGGGTAAGAGCGCCCATTTTGGAGATGAGGGTCCGTACATCCATGCAGACTGAGTTCCCAAAGTTTCAGCTCTGTAATTTTTGCAAGTCTAAAGATGAATTCCCACCCCGAACTACACCTTCACTTGTCTGTATTTACAGCTAGAGGATGAAACACAGACAAATATCCTCACATATTCTCAAGCATATGCGCAATCAACATATCACACTGTTTATAACACATGTTCCCACATACCGTCTTCCTCTTTTTCCTCTCCATCAGCTTATTTCATATAAAATATTAAGCTCAAATCTTCCCATTCCTTTTTATGCGTTTAGTGCTGAAGTACAAAACGCATATTGTCACGGGGTTGTTTGTGTGTGTGTGTTTGTGTGTGTGTTTTTGTGTGTGTGTGTGTGTGTGTGTGTGTGTGTATGCCCGCAGGAACTTGTCCGCAACTTCCAACTCTGTAACCACAAAAGCTAGAAAGCTGAAAATTTGGGGGAACGTCCCCCACCCACATGTGACCCCGCAAATTTAAATTCAGCTCCCCCGTACTCGCGGGCGCGTGAAAATTTTTAACGGGTAAATTAATATCTCGGGAACCACGGATTCTAGGAGGCTGAAATTTTAAGATAATGACCCACTGCACATGCTCAACCTTGCCTATTCAAATTCAGCCTTCCCGTACGCGCAGGTAACAGGTACGACCCCGTGAAAGTTTTTTACGGGTAAATTAATATCTCAGGAACCATGGAGTCTAGGAGGACAAAATTTTAAGGTAATGATCCCCTGCTCATGCTCAACCTTGCTCATTCAAATTCAGCCTTCCCATACCCGCGGGTAACAGGTATGGCCCCGTGAAAGTTTTTATGGGTAAATTATTAT